ATGAGAAACATAAAAAACAATATTTACAACTATAAACACCAATCTTTCCTAAAAAAAAACTATAAACACCAATCAAGTCTAGTGGTTAGCATTTGGGTTTGAACCCCACCTGCTTTGGCTTTTTTATTCTTTTTTATTTGACATTTTTTTTGTGCGCAGCAGAACAGAAAAAACTTGACCACGCAAGCTCACTAGGGCGCCTAGGCCGCGCGCTCGCTGGCCGTGTGCGCCTTCAACTGGCCAACCTGGCTATGTGGCAGGCCATGTGGCAATTTTTTTTTTTAAAAGATCGCTCCATGCTAATATGTGTATAGACTCAAAACAACCGTAATAATCTAAAAAAACCACACTTATTAGGATTCTTGGACTTGGACATCAATGCGGACCACGAGCTGATAAAGTTTATAGATAATAGCAAACCACTAGAACAAGTGTCTCCCTAGCTCATTAGTAAAGGCCTATTTTTTTAGAGGTCCCAGGTTTGAGTATTCGAAGGCACTACTTTTTTCGCATAATTTCTGTGTACGTCTAGGGGTTTCCTGTACGAGTGTTGTGTGGTTTTGGGTGGCGTGTGTGTGAGTGTGACCAATTAATTTTTTTTGTTTTTTTTTTTTTTTCTTCTTTTTTATTATATGTATCAATCTATATCTCTATTAATTTTTATTTCTGCACATCTCTTTCCTGTTAAATTGAGTTTAGAAACAAAGAATTACACACATGATAAAAAAACCACTCAATGTTTTTTTTTTATTTTTTTATTAAAGAGTGAATTGTGTTGTAGGTTCTTAAACTTTTTTTGACTTTTCACCTAGGTCCATGCACTTTTTTTTTGCAGATTTGGGTACATTAACTTTGTTCACATCCTAACCACCATCCAAAGCAGTCCACGCTGGACTCTGCCACCTACGTGGCATCTGATGTGGCACTATGGTGGCGTGTAATGAGCTGGGCGCGCTGGCACTATGTTTTGGCGGCTTTTTTAGATTTATAGGTTTTTTTTTTTATGCACTTAGATATACAATATGCCTAGATGCATATATACTAAAATCAACGTATCTAGAAAAATCAAAATATCTTATAATTTGGATGGAGTAACAACAAAATGAAAAAAAAGAAAGGCTTCTCTTTTATTGCAAGGAATCAAACAACTTCAAACTCAAACGAATTCAAACAAATTTGAATCTGACTAATATTTCTTAGCTGTCGAGCTCTGCTATAATGTCGCTACACTGATAGAGCTGCGCTGGGCGGAGCCTGGCTAAACAGGGGTTTATTGGTTCTCCGGCTTCGTTACTGCGTGGCCGGAACTATTGAAGCTACTCCAAACTAACTTCATCTCTTTGCTGATTCATTTTACGCTGACAGAGAAAACAATACATCATGGTAATTGCTAGAGAGACCACGGACACGGTGACGCTCAAACGAGCCTAACATCTTCCTTCGTTCGGTGGTTCCAAACCGCTAGTAATGTCGGCATATGTGGAAATACATGCGCTACTCAAGTGCTTACTGCTTTCTGGATATATACGAGCAACTGAACTTATCGTTCTTTCCTTGTTTCTTTATTTCTTTGAAGAATTTATCTAGTAACCTTTTTGGGTCAGCCGCCATTAAACATTAGAGTATGCATCTTCTGTTAATCGTACCATTTTCTTTGGAAGCATATTTTTCGTGCATCAAACAAAATCCTTGCCATGATTGACAGGTTCAATTACAGAGAAGACAAGCAGAAACTAATTGAGCAACCGAGACGAGATCGTCTTAATTTACTCGTTCAAAGATCCTTTCACAGCAACGTTTAATTTTCATGGTTTGCGAATAGGATTGTCACAGCCGAAAGCGTTTTGTTATTTTATACATGAGGCCGAAGAGTGAGAACGATATTTTCATTTTGTATGTACGAAATTGACAAGGACTTATTGGTGCCTGAAGCTGTCGTTTCAATGATAATTAGAAGGCCTTGATGCGACCTGCATAACCAATCATCTATGATTGAAGTTACAGTTCCGGAGCTTTCCTGCTCGTCCTAACTGGTTTGATTGTTGGCTGTCACAGTGGTGCTACCACAGTCAGTGCGCCAAGACGGCACCACAGCCGCGTTAGCTGTTGTGAGCTTCCGGCTCATTCAGGACACGGCCTAGCAGAAGTGCCAAGCAGCACCAATGGAGTCCAGCTCCAGCACCGCCACTCACCATCCTTGTCCTTCCTCCCCATGAGTAATCCGTGATCCGGTCCCCACTACCGCCGCACATGAAGACGACAAACGTACCGGCCGCGCGTCCCCATCCGTCCTAAACAATTTTTACTCGTCGCTTCGTCAGTGTTGATGCCGCGCGCGGGTGCATTACGGTTCGGTGCCGGCCGGCCTCTGTACCCTCTTCCGGCATTCACACTGGCACGACGGATTCTGACGTCTGAGGCAGGCGCATTCGGGTCGGGATAGCTCGGTGTCAAGAAAAATAACATTTCGTACAAAAGAACAATTTCTCTAAAAAATAAGAGTACATTAAAGATCTAATAAGTCATCTCGATCGTAAATTGCCTATCGAAGATTGAAAAACACATCAAAGTAACGACAAAGGAAAGGAACACCTGCAAACATCATCGTCATACAAGGCTTTGAAGACTGCAAAATTCACTCGTCGCTGACAACGAGATTAAGAATCCACTGAAACGAACATCGACTCACCATCAAATTAGAGTGTTGGTGATGCCGGACCTTACAATAGAACAAACCAAAAGAAGAGGTCAAAATCATCGTGAAGAGAGCCAACTGACTGCTTCCCCTGATAAAAAGACCAACTACCACCAAGATCTGAAGAGAACGAATAGATCCGATAGACCAAACTCTCATTGGCCCTTTATCAACGGCGGATCGAAGTCGACGAGGTAAGGAGAGATCGGAGAGACCTTATTCCAATGCGTCATCGTGGCCACCACCTCGTCGATGATGTTAGAAACTAAACCCTAGAGAATAAGGATCAACAAAAAACTAAAAATTACGAAGGGATCGGGCTCCCACTCCTCTGGCCACTGGCGAGGTCACCATATTGAAGAGAGGAGGGGGACCGATACGTTCCTGTGGGCAAGGGCGTCAACGGTTGAGAGAGTTCGTGTTTTGAGGCCACGTGTCTTTGGTAGCCGTTGGATCAGCCAATTACTACTGACAGCCTTTGGACCGGACTAGTATAGTCATCAACTGGACCATGCGCAACCCCACTCCGGAGCTATCCAGAGAGCTCCCAGAGCGCGAAAAACCAACCAGACCGAGTCAGGTCCTAGCCTCCAAACCAACGCCGCCTAGGTCCGGTTCAAATTGGCTAGTCTCTGTCTGACTGAAATAATTCTTCGGACTTGCCACTTGGTTCGGACCGACTCCGGACCAGAGTCCGAATCACACCGATGCACCATGTGTCCACCGCGCCCCAACCGAAGCTGAGGCCCATTGGTCCGGACCCCCCTGCCACCAGGGTCCGGAGCACACACGAGCGCACTGTCCCCTTAGGGTTAGGTTCCAGACCCATGCACCATGGTCCGGACCCCCTAAACACTAGAGTCCGGTTCACCTTTTTCAATTGTTTTCAACTCCATTCTTCAACCCTTGCTTTTCAAGTGCTAACCACAAAGTGTCTCACCATTTGTGCACGTGTGTTAGCATATTCTTAAAGCATTTTTATGGGTTTTAAGTTAGCACACTAGGTCCTAATGCATATGCATGAACAATGTCACATAGTGGCACTTGATAACCGCTTTAACCATAATTTTTTCCCTCTTCATAGTACAACTATCTATCCTAAACCCAATCACACCGTCTTGATTAGCAAAACAAAAAATGACCATATAGATTATACCTTTGCCTTGAGCTCATTTTTTGTTTTTCTCTTTCTTCTTTTCCAAGTTAGAGCACTTGATCCATCTTTTGGCCACCTCCATCACCGTGATTGCCATCTTGCTCCACCACTTGGACTCGGACCACCCTAACTCATCTACACTTAGATAAAGGGTTAGTCCACTATGTTTCATTAATTATTCAAAACCAAACTAGGGCTTTCAGAGATGGTGGATGGGAAGGGATGGGGACCAGCGGTGGTGGAAGGCGGGGGGCGGCGGCGGCGGCGGCGCTAGGGCGAGTCACGAGAGAGAGGGGCCAATTAGGATATAATGGTTGAGCTCGTGTGTGGCGAGGGTTAATGCATTATTACTATACTACGCACATCTTTGCTAGTAATATACTGTATATGGCACCCTTTTTTTTGAGTAAGATTAGGGGTGAAAGGATCCCCACCTGGAATTTTATTAGAAAGAGATCGATCGTTCAGTTACATAATGCCAGTAGTTAGAGAATGGAGATTTCTACAGCTTTGCAGGTACAAGAGCCAAGCCTAAACATTCTCAGGATTGCTCGTTTTCTTCAATACGGGTCTTCCAGGTCGAGAGGTCGTCAATTACTCTGGCAATGACCTGGGTAGCAGAGGATCGTTCTTGCCGGAAGACCTCGCCGTTCCGGGCGTCCCACAGACGCCAGAGTATAGTAAGCAGAATAGAAGGCCACAGGTCGCTGTCTAATCCGTGGGGAGTGTTTTAAGAGCCAGAGCCCAGCTCTTCATCAGACACAGATGCAGCGGTATTGACCCCTAGTCTTTGCCATATCGAGGAGATGGATGGTCTTCTGAAGAAGATATGGTGTCTATCTTCAACGCTGTTTGAGCACCGTTCGCATATATCATCTCTTAGCACATGCTTACGGAAGAGGTTGGACCTAGTGCTGAGTCTGTCTTTGAAGTAAAGACACGAGAAAATACAGCACCCTTTTGATATTATTTCGCTACCTCTGGCAGGGTACGGTCCTCGTGTCTATATATATGAACATGTGGTTCCATACTTCCATCCTCGCATGCATGTGAGGGCCAGAGCTCACTGTCGCATGCCCTGCTCTGTTTGAGCACCAAACGCATCAATCACTGACCATAACAAGCAGCGAGGGTTCCCTGCATCCAGCCATGGCAACCACGACGACGACGGATGGTAGGAATGGAGAAGGAGAGCAGAAGAGGAGGGAGAAGGGAGGCTTCAAGACCATGCCATTCATACTTGGTGAGTAGCTAGCTTAGGCCAACATAATACATGTAGCCAGCATATTTGCAATCGGATGAAATTTTGAACAAGCAATGAGCGAGAAATCTAGACGATGCATTCAACGAGTGATGATGTCGGCGCAGTTCTTGCCTTGTTTGGACGTTTGATGATGGCCCATCTAATGGCTTCTCCGTACGATGCAGGGAACGACATCTGCGACCGGTTCGCCACGGCCGGCTTCGGCGCCAACCTGATCACGTACCTGACGCAGCAGCTGCACCTGCCGCTGGTGGAGGCGTCCAACCTCCTGACCAACTTCGGCGGCACGTCCAGCCTCACAACTATCCTCGGCGCGCTAGCCGCCGACTCCTTCGCGGGCCGCTTCTGGACCATCATCGCCGGCTCCGTCTTCTACCAGCTCGGCATGCTCGGCCTCGTCGTGTCCGCGCTCCTCCCTTCGCTACGCCCCTCGCCATGCTCCGCTCCTCCCGGCGGCCCCGCATGCCAGCGCGCCTCCGGGTTGCAGCTCACCGTGCTGTACCTCTCCCTGCTGTGCACGGCCTTTGGCGCCGGCGGGCTCCGGCCCTGCGTCGTGATGTTCGGCACCGACCAGTTCGACCACGAGTTGGGGGAGCAGCAGCAGAAGAAGGTCACCGCGGAGGCAGCCAAGGTGGTGGCAGAGCGGAAACGCCGCTACTTCAACCTCTACTTCTTCATGATGGGGGTAGCGGCGCTGCTGGCGCTGACGGTGGTGGTGTACATCCAGGACAACGTGGGGTGGGGGTGGGGGTTCGGGATCCCGGCCATCGCCATGTTCGTCTCCATCGTGGTGTTCGTGATCGGGTACCCGCTGTACGTCATGCTCAAGCCCGGGGGCAGCCCGTTCACGCGGCTCGCGCAGGTCGCCGCCGCCGCGTTCAAGAAGCGCAACGTCGTCGTACCGGAGGACACCGGCATGCTGTACCAGGACAAGGAGCTCGACGTCCTCATCTCCACCAACGGCAGGCTGCTGCACACCAACCAGCTCACGTAAGTCCGTCTCTCTAGCTATTTTGTCGTGCTCTGTGTGTTTCGACGTGTGCTCTCTACACACCTACACCCCGTAAGATAGCGTCCACGTGATGTACTTTTGCATTGACGCCTGCATGCCTGAACGGTACTAGACATGTCCGCAACATTTGTGTGGTTACGCTATTGCCAAACTCTTACATCTGGCGTTGTCTGGTGCACGCGCTCCCCCTAGAGGCCTCCACCACCCGATACAAATTTAGTCAAATTCAGTACCAATTTAATCCAGAAAATTATAAATAACATGTTTGTGACACTAGACATGTGCACGTGTGATCTAAGTGCAACAAACATGTACATGATACTAATCATCATGATTTTAGTCATATATAACAAAGGATGGGTCGCAACAGCATACCTAGCGACACCAGAGCCGACGCTAGTTGACATAGCGGTTGTCGATGTAGTCGTCCCGCTCGATGCCGTGCAGTAATGTTGCAGTGCCGATCACCCCAAGCCGTCGAGAAGTAGCAGGAAGAAGAATGAACGAGCGAGCAGTCGCGTGAAGACGCTCCCTAAAAACTTGATTGCCGGTCTTCACCTGAGTAGATGAACTCACGAACGGCGCCGGTTTCGGAGGCATGCTCTCCCTATTCCTATGCGCGCAGGAACCGAGACGGGAATGGCAGAGAGCAGCACAACAGCAGCGTGACTGTGTTCTGGCTATGTGTTCTCTTCTCTCTCGCGTAGAAGAGAAAGAGTGTCCCTTTTACTGAGTGACAAAGGAAGATAAAGTTAAAGAGCTAGGCACATGAAGAGTTAGTAGCCATCATGTCATTGTCTGTTACAAGTAACTTGTGAAACCGACAAATGAATTGTCCGCTACTAGTAACGGAAACCACTATGACACCATGAACCACTAAATCATGATCCACCAACACATAATGGTCATCACGCACCTAACCTCTCATCAACCCTCGTCAAACCGTAAGTTACACCACATAGCATTAACTTTGACCTTAGAATTTTATTTTATTTAATTGCTGAATAAAAATTGGACAAACCCAATTAAATCCAACACCTTCTTCGTCCGTCGCAGCAGCGCTTTCACTGTGTCACGCTAATCTAATCTGTCTTCACATCCCCCGCTACTGATGATCTCACTGGCTGATTGCCTCTAGAATGTAGCATCACAGTTTGGCACTATGGTGCGGAGCCATTTCAGATTCAAGAAGAAAAATAAGCTGAGAGAAAGGCGAAGCCGGTGAACTCCAAAGTGAAGCAGATTTTTGACTTCACAGTTTCAACTCCTACATATAATAGTAACACTATAAGTCATGGGGCTGGAAAGCTCCACTAAATTAGCCATAGCCGTCCTAGACATCCCGATTCCCTCAAAGATTGGAGGATAAGAACCCTCAAATTCTAAACTTAACCCTAACCTAACCCCCTCAGGCCCGCCGCCGCTGGCGGTGACCACAGCCAGCGACAAGAATGTTATCACGCCTCTATGTCCACACCTTGTCCGCCCCGAGCCATGGCTGCCCTCCCCTAACATCGTGGGAGCGTTTTTCTTTCTTGTGCCCGTGTGTATAAGGATTTTGGCAAAAGTATGCACTACTCTAGAGCATCTTCAATAGACTTTCTAAAATCTACTCTCTAAATATCATTTAGAGAGTCATTTGAGTAAAAATCGTTTTCTATATCTTTGTACTCTCGAACCGTTTTTCGGTATCTTGTGCATAGTTTAGAGAGTCATTCTTATTCTCCATCTTTGATTAGCAAGAAATCCGGAATAGAGGATGTCTATATTTAGATATTCAATATATTGAATAGGTTATTGGAGGGTATTTTTTCAACAAAATCTTTATTCCCTTAAAGATGCTCTTAGCATTGAACTAGGAAAGATATAAAGAGTCCTTGAAGATGCTCTTAGCATTTAACTCTGGTTCACGGTTTTTTTGTACTCTACCATACATCCTATAATACAATGTATTCTAGAGATTCTAAAATAAATTAAGAAAGAATACAAAAGACATATCTACTCTTACTTTTTTTAATTAATTAGACGTCAACACCAATATGATTAATGGCTGATGGTTGATAAATAGCAAGTAACGATACAATACGTACAAAAAGTTTGTGATATAATATAAAGCACAACTATCTCTTGTCTCCAAACAAAATCTCTTATATTTAGATACAAATTTTGAATGCTTAGATGCACTACATTATATGACGGAGGGAATAGGTTCGCTCACTTCTCATTTTTAGTTTTTTTTTTTGGAAGTTGTCACAATCACAACCCCAATAATACTCGCTGTGCTGACTGCTCGTTTTTTTTTTCAGAAGCTGTCACAACCCCAATACTCCACTTTCCACTAGCATAGTAACGACATTGAGACGAAAACTGTGTGTTGATTTCTCTTTTCCTCTGTTAATTAAGGTTCTTGGACCGGGCAGCCATAGTGACGCCGGGCGACATCTCCGTTTCCGGGCAGCCGGACCTGTGGCGACTGTCGACGGTGCACCGCGTGGAGGAGCTCAAGTCCATCGTCCGCATGCTGCCCATCTGGTCAGCTGGGATCATGCTGGCCACCATTGAATCGCACAACGGCACCTTCATCATCATCCAGGCGGGCAGCATGGACCGGCACATCACCCGGCACTTCGAGATACCACCAGCGACCATGTCGATCTTCGGGACTGCGGCCTTCCTCGTCAGCTTGGCGCTCTACGATCGCGCGTTCGTGCCCCTGGCACGCCGCGTCACAGGCCTGCACTCTGGGATCACCTACTTCCAGCGCATGGGCATCGGGCTCGCCATCCACATCCTCGGCGTCGCCACGGCCGCGCTCGTAGAGACCAAGCGCCGCGACGCCGCGGCCGACCACGGGCTCCTGGACAATCCTGCCGCCGTCATCCCGCTCAGCGTGTTCTGGCTGGTGCCGCAGTTCGCCGTCCACGGCATCGCCGGCGCCTTCTCGTCAGTGGGGCACATGGAGTTCCTGTACGACCAGGCGCCCGAGAGCATGCGCAGTACTGCGGCCGCGCTCTTCTGGCTCGCCAGCTCCTTCGGGAACTACCTGGGCACCGTGCTGGTCACGGTGGTGCAGCGCACCACGCGCGCCCGCGGCAACGACTGGCTCCAGGACAACATCAACCGTGGCAGGATCGACAACTACTACTGGCTCGTCACCTGCCTCATGGTGCTCAACCTTGGCTACTACCTCATCTGCTTCCGTTTCTACACCATGAAGCCTCTGGAGATGGCAGACGAACAAGACGATCATGTTGGAGAATATGAGCTCTCCACTCTACAGAAAAATGACACCGGTGCTGGAGGTGTGGTGTAAGGTTGATTTGCGGGCAATTAATTAGGGTGGGCTTTAGTTGTTAATATATACTAGATGATACCCGCTCGTCGCTGCCAGAACTTGGTAGCATTGCACTGCATCATGGACCAACTTTTACATATTATAAAGTTCAATATATATTAAAGTGCTCTTTTACAATGGTTGGAAAAGTACTATTAGTACCTCGGGTACTTTTCATTTTTTCTATTTCCTAACTGATTAATTGAGGATGATTATTTATAGGGTATATTGGTAATTGAGCTCACGTCTCCTACTCCTGCTATTGAACGCCACCGCCCCAAACTCCCGATTGCTCGCCTCCATTGCACAAATCATACAGAGTAGGTTCTAATTGTTAGAGCGAACGTGCAGTGATGTCCACTTCCACGGCTGCGGCGCACTCCTCGGCGTGGACCACGACCAGAACCTCGGCGCTGTGGAGTTCGACCTCGACGAGGCCGGCTGCCTGCTGCTCCTCACCCAGCCGTGCAGCAGCCCAACCCGCGAGACCATCCGACCATGCCGCAGGTCCTCACCCAGCCGTGCAGAAGTCCATCACAAATTCTATAAGCACAACTCAGAAATAGTACAATTCATTGTTGCTCTTTCACAACCCGTCCCTCTAGGACCCATTGATTTTTGCCCTTTGACGAGTCTTAAATAAGACCCTTGTGTTAGTTTAGTTTAATGCCTATGGTCTCCATCCTATTTTTGTAATCTCCTTCAAGAACCCATACATGCAAGTAAGAGCCTTCGGACTTTGAAATGATACTAGAAAACTTCTTCAGAGACCGATAACCTAGTAGGATTTTGAAACAACCAGGTCCTAAAGTAAAAATTCTAGAAATCATAGCACACTCTTAGATCATCTAGGATTACTTTTTGCCTTTGACGTCACTATACAATACAACGCGGATGGGGGAGGGTGGGAGCCCTATTGAAGCTAACCTAGGGATTTTACAATTGGCTAGCGTAGATCTCCTGAGTCACTTACAATACAAGCAGGCCGATGCGGCACGCGGCTAGCGTAGCTCCTGATTTAGCAGGCCGATGCGGCACGCGGCTAGCTAGCCAGCTAAAAGCTGTAGTGAGCTAACAGCAAAATGAAAAAAATAAAGGCTTTCTCTTTTATTGCAAGAAATCAAACAACTTCAAACTCAAGCGAATTCAAGCAAATTTGAATCTGCCTAATATTTCTTAGCTGTCGAGTTCTGCTATAACGTCGCTACAGGTAGAGCCTGGCTAAACAGGGGCCTATTGGGGTCCGGCTTCTTTACTGCGTGGGGTCCGGCTTCTCTTTGCTAATCCATTTTACGCTGAGACTTCATGGTAATTGCTACAGAGACACAAGGACACTATGCTCAAGAGCCTAGTACTTTAAAGCTGGATAACGAGCGGCTCGGCTCATTTACTCGCTCATCTCTTTAACCATAATCCATTTTACGCTGAGAGAAAAACAATACTTCATGGTAAAAAAATTGCTTTATCAGAGACACAATAATACAAAAGGAATGCATCAACAACCTTAAATGATGCTCAAACAGAGCCTAACATCTTCCTTTGTTCAGCGGTTCAAAAAAAAGTTACTAATGTCGACATATGTGGAAATATATGCGCTACTCGAGTTTTGGAGATATACGAGCAACTGAACTTCTTTCCTTCTTTCCTACTTTCCTTATTTCTTTGAAGAATTTATATAGTAACTTTTTGGCTCAGCCGCCATTAAACAATATACGTATGCATTTTCTGTTAGTCGTATCATTTTCTTTGGAAGCATATTTTTACTGCATCAAACAAAACCTTCGTCATGATTGACAGGTTCATTTTTTTAATCGAGATTAAACTCTGCTTTTAGAAAGCAACAGGTACAAAGTTTGCTGGGGTTACCAGCAGCATTACAACCTCAATCCCTGGGATTACCAGTAGCGTTAGAGCACACGAAATGGCAAACTACTACAGCCTAGAAGCCAAACAGAACAACGCTTAAGCTAGAGTTCAAACACATCAGTAGCAGAAGTACTATTGGGCCTAAAATTCTTCAACCAGCTCAATATTACCTCCAGTACTTGTGTAATCCGCTCCCTATCCTTCTCCTTCAACAACGTGCACCATCTCTGCATCAAAGATATGGCAGTATATATGACATCAGTGGGCGCTTTGGGGAAAACTTTTTCAATAACCATCTTATTTCTAGTAATCCACGGCGTCCATGCATAACCTGCAAAGAGAAAAAGAACCAATTTGCTTGGCAGAGGCCCCATGCCCTGCAGCCAAGAGCCTAGCAGATCATCTATGGAAGAAGGACAGGAGTCCAGACCAAAGACACTACAGATGATACCCCAGGTCAGCTTAGCAAGATGACAATTGAAAAGGAGATGATTTATGTGTTCTGGACAATCACATAGTAATCAATGTCCTGTTTCCACCCCCTTTTGACCAAATTACCAGCCACCTGTAATTTGTTATGAAACACTTGCCACAAAAAGAATTTGATTTTCAGAGGTATTCTACTTTTCCAAATCACCCCAGCCACCTTGCTCGGGCCTCCCCTGTCAGTCAAAAACCGGTATAAAGACTCGGTCGAAAACTAGTTTTTTGGTTCCAGAGCCCATAAAACAGCATCAGCCTCATCAGACTGAGGATAGCACTCTTGCAGAGACTCCCCCAACTCTTTTTTTTAGATAAAGGATAGTTTATATCCGACTTCATCTACCTCAGGGTAGAATCAGGCCAATTATTACAAAGTTCGGTACAACGACCAGCACACAACCCACATGGATCACAAGCTTACAAGTAGACACCAGGAAAACAAAGCGGGAAGTAAAGTTCTGACTAATGAAGACCAATAAACCTAGTCGATAACCATCCATTGGAATTAAAGAAGTGCAATGCTGATGTCTCCAGATGCTGTCCAATAAGAATCAGCTGATCCCGTAGATCATTACACCGCTGCAGCCTTGCCCATTGCCGTAGCCAATGGGTTCCTCTGAATAGCACCTGCAAAAAAGTTTTCGGTCTGTATTTGTCAAAAACTACTTCGTTTCTTGTTAACCAGATTGTCCAACATAAAGCTGACGCTGCAGTTAATAACAATGAATTATGTATGTTAGCACCCGCCTTAGACCAATTAACAAATAAATCATGTATACTGAGGGGGGTGATAACCCAAACATTAAGTGTACATCACGCCACAAGAACTTAGCGTAATAACATTGGAAAAAAAGGTGTTGAATAGTTTCTGGATGGTGACAGAAGCACCATTTCGTATCACCATTCCAGCTTCGTCGTGCAAGATTGTCCTTGGTTAAGATCACACCTCTTTTTAAATACCACAATAATATTTTTATTCTTGAAGGAATTTTGATCTGCCATAAATCCTGTGACACTCTGACCCTATTGTTAATTAGTGCAGCATATATAGATTTAACAGAAAATGTACCAGATGAATGTAATGCCCAAACAAACACATCCCTTTCCCCCCGTAAGTTCACATCTTGTAACGAGGCAACAATTCTATGCCAATCCCTTATATTTCTACCCAACTCTAACCAACTGTTATATTCTTGAAATCCAGAACCCAAGAATCCCCATCCCAACAATTGGCTAAAGAGCAGCCAGTGTTCCCCACCATTTTGAAGACATTCTCACAAGCAATTTTCAGTGGGACATTTTGGGCCCAACAATCCAACCAGAATTTGCAATGTCTACCATTCCTAATTTTAAACACAGACCCCCTATTTAAAGAGGTGTTTCACCTTTTGTAAGCCCTGCCAAAATTGTGAAACCCCTCTAATTTTTGAATCAGAAAACCCCCCCTCACCCATATATTTTGCCTTGACAAGCTTAAACCATAGCTCATCTGGCTCTTGATGAATTTTTCAAATCCATTTGACTTGGAGGCAATCATTCATTAGTCTAGTATTTATGATGCCCAGGCCTTCCTGGTCCTTGGGTCTACACACCATTTCCCATTTGGCCATGTGGTATTTAAACTTCGCATCAGCCCCTTGCCAGAGAAATTTTGCTCTTATACCATCCATCTTCTTATGTACCCCATCTGGGAGCCAATAAAAACCCATGCAGTAGATTGGGATGCTACTAAGACAAGAATTAGTAAGGATCTGCCTCCCCCCAATGGTCAAGAACTTTCCTTTCCAAGGATCTAATCTGATGACCATCTTTTGAGAAAGAAAACTAAAAGCCCCCATGGCCAGATGTTGATCATTAATTGGAATCCCAAGATATTTAAGAGGTAATTCTCCTATAACACAGTTAAGCATGTTGGCTTTCTTCTCTTTCTCCTCTTGTGGAAATCCAAAAACAAACACCTCACTCTTGTGATAATTGGTGTTTAAACCAGTCAACCATTCAAAACAATATAAAATCAATTTAAGGTTAGTGATTGAATTCTCAGACCCATCAATCATAATCTCAGTATTATCGGCATACTGGATATGAGTGATCCCTCCTAGAATAAGGTGCTCAAGAACTCCTCTATTGTGTCCCTTATTAGCAGCCTTGCCAAGTAGGACTCCCAAAGCACCAGCTACTAGATTGAAAAGGATAGGAGAGAGAGGGTCACCTTGTCTAAGGCCTCTAAAGGTTTTGAAATATGGGCTCCTCTCCCCATTAACATTGATACACACTTTACCATCCTTCACTGTCTTCTCACCTAGTTTGAAGGGAATCATTTCCCTATCATGACTTGTTCTAAAAAGGACCACCTCACTCTATCATACGCCTTCTCGAAGTCAATTTTCATAATGAGGCCCTTCCTCTTAGAAGTCCTCAACTTATGGAGAACCTCATGTAGAACCACAACACCTTCAAAAATATTCCTTCCTTTGATAAAGCAAGTTTGTTGTTTACCAACAACTTTCTTTGCAATTGGAACCAGCCTATTGGTTAACACCTTAGTGAAGCATTTATAGTCAACATTAAGCAGACAAATGGGCCTAAATTGTTTGATATTATTAGCTTCCTTCAATTTGGGAACTAGG